GGTGGTAGAAAGCAACGGATGGAGGAGCTGACCAGGACTATTTAGATCAGACCTCCTAGTGGTTGTAACAGAATATGGAGGATTCTGACATATTACGATGAGGTTGTCATAGGTGGCTATTGACGGCATTGGGTGTAACAAGTTGGTGGGGTTTTCGCCGAACCATCGATGAAAGTGATTGGCGGTTGTCTTGCCGATTTTTGACGATGGGAGGCGGCAATTTTGCGTATTCTGACGACTTTGTGGAGGAACCTATAAAATTAAAAAAAATTAATATTATACGGTACAAATTATTAACCTAATAAAATTAATTATTATATATAAATAAAATAAATTAAAAGTAATAACCCAATGAAAAAATTAACGTAATAAAAAAAATTAAAATAATTAGAAGAAATTAATAAGTCAATAAAGTAATATTTATCAATAGATAAAAAAATTATATATAATAATCGGAAAAATAAAAAGAATTACTCTAATAAAGAAGAAATTAAAAAAACAGTAATATAATAAAATAGTATTTATTAATATATGAATATAGTATAATAAAAAATATATTTGTTAATATATAATAATCCAAAGAATTAATCAAACAAAGAAGAATTTAAAAAAATAATAAGTATTAAAAAAATTAATATAGTAATAAAAAATAATTATTAATATATAAATATAATATATTAAAAATAAGATTTATTAATATATAATAATCCAATAAAAAATAATACAATAAGAAATAAACTTAAAAAAAGTAATTAAAAGAATTAATATATAATAATTCAATAAAATGAAAAAGAAAAATTACAGAAATAACCTTTGTAGTTTGGTAAAAATATGAACTTCATAAATGGTTCCTAGAGGTAAATCTGTTATTAAGGAAATGTACGTAAACAAACAGGTAAAACAATAAAAAAAATTGTTTGGTAAAAATTTGATCTTTCTGATGAAGAATATATAAAGATCAATTTTTTTCTTTAGTTGCAGTGAAAATCGATCGAACAATAGGTAAAACAATAAAAAAAAATCTCTTATTTGTTCGTTTTGTACAAATGAATTTGTTTTAAGATTGTAGGAATAATATTACGGAAATGTACGAAAACAAACAATAAAACAGAAAAACAGAGGCATGTGTTTAACACATTGTCCTTAAAATAAATCTGCATACTACCGGGTGTTTGTTTCCCAGGATACAACAATTTGAAGTGACTCTTCAAGACCAGCGGAACCCTCAATAGGCCTAGATTATACCTTTGATATAAGCAAGAAAAACTAAGAGTATAAACCGGAGAATAAGAGAATTTTGGCATTCTGGTAGTTAAGGATTATTTTTTCATTCATCTTAAATCCGTTTTGAACATGTGATATACCAAAACGAAGGTATCATAGGGGAGAACACAAACATATAAGCATTTAATAATGCTTTAGGGTTCAAATTTCGTGTTAAAAATGGTGAAACCCGACTTTTATAAATTGGTTAAAACCAATTTCCACGGTTTATCATCGAAAATACTTGCTATTTGTCACTAGTGAAGAAGATGATTAAGATGAAACATCAATCAGGTGACACTGCACAGTGCACACACGCTTTTAAGATATTAAAATTTATCTTGATTGTGGCGTTGACACTGCACGCATCAATTGTTGAGTGGTGGATTTTCTTAATTATTTGTTTTATATGTATTATCTTAGAACTTTAGATTACACATGAAATAAGGCATGGAAAAATGTGAAATTTAAAATCTAAGTTTTTCATCTCTTTCTCTTGTATGAAAAGAAGCAGTTTCCAAAAATAAACTCTCTCAAAATGTTTTAATAATAATTTGTTTTGTTTCGGAAAATTTAAATTTTTAAAACATTTTAAGCGTAATTATTAATTTTTCTCCTAAAACTATAGTGTTTTTTTAACACACCAATCTAGTGGACACACAAGTCTACCGTATGGTTCTAGGTTTTTAATTTACACACATACACCTACTTTTATTTTTGATTAGGAGTCCCGGTTTTTTTCTACCCATTACTCTCTCTCTCTCATATATATGGCGTCAAACTTTTATAATTATTGTATTATACTTTATAATATATTGTAATTATACATATATGTACTTTTTTGAAACTATACATATACACTCTTTTAAGATAATATTTTTTATCAACCGACATAGAAAAAAAAATTGTCTCTCTTTCATATATGACGTCTAACTTTTATAATTATTGTATTATACTTTATAATATATTGTAATTATATATATACATACTTTTTTTAAACTATACATATACATACTCTTTTAAGGTAATATCTTTTTATCAAACGGCATAGATGACTTTGTACTTCTTTTAGATAGTAACATATAATTTTTTATAATTAATGATATTAGGTTTACGAAAATGAAATAAAAAGGTCTAAAAAAAAGACAATTGTGGCTTACGGCTAACATATGGGCGGAACACAAACATTACAACTAGGGGGCCAAAACCTAAATTCTAAAACAAAACAAAACCATATAATTTAATATGGTTCAAAGTTATAATACATCAAACAATCTAAACAATACAACCAATAGGATATATTCTTACATTGTTAATCAATGTAGAACTTATTTTCAGTTTTACTATATAATCGTGTTTTAAAACAAAACCATATAAATACATGAATATTGATTTTGTATTTTTGACATGGTATCTTTTATATAACTTAAAATAAACAAATATTAAACAAATATTATTTGTTTATATATGGAAAGGTTTGTTGTTAATGAAATTATTTCAATTTTTACTTAGCAGATTATTTGGATGTGAATTTATTAAATAAATATGATTGTACATAAAAAAAAAAAAAAAAAAGAGTAAATATAATTTAAATCTTCAAACAAAATAATAGAAGAAAACTAATAGGTAACTCGTTTCATTACTCATATTATTTGATGCACTAAATTCAACCACATAATTAATTTTATTAATTATATATATATCCTTTTCATCATAATCTAAAACCTCATTTAAAATTGATATACTATTATTTAAAAGTAGTAATGACAAGGTCAAGCAGCATATGAATGGTATGAGTTATGTAATATATTTTCTAAACTTATTATGTAATATATTTTCTAAACTTATTATGATTGACAGTAGATGGAAAAGAGTTTTATATAAAAGGAATTGTTTAATATATATATATATATATATATATATATATATATATATATATATATATATATATATATATATATATAAAAGGATAAAATGTTTGGGGGGGGGGGGGGCATGGGTCCCCCAGCCCTCTTGTGTTCTGCCACGGTCTAACAAAAAATAAAAACAGTCAAAAAAATTATGCTATTGAAAAGATGAGTTTACGGAAATGGAAAAAAATAAAATGTATTAAGTTTGTAGGTTTACGATAAAGATAAAAAATATGATGATGATTTATTTTCAGATTGTAATACTTTTTAGTCTGTGGATTGAAATAAAAATATTAATCGATTTCGACGGAGAGTTATCGGAGATATGGCACCCTAATGTTTAATTATTTTTAAAGCATATAATTGTTATAAGGCTCATAACATTTAATCATTAATATAAAATACGGTTTCGTAAAAGCTTTTATTTGATACACAACTTTGAGGTGATAATCTAACATTAATAACCATAATTACAACAAACTACATATAAGTCATGTCTATATTTTATAAAAAATATTTGTTTAAAATATATTTTTCTTATAATATTATATATATATATATATATATATATATATATATATATATATATATATATATTTCAGCTGATGATATTAGGTTTATTGAAATGAAAAAAAATAATGGCCTTCTAACAAAAAAAATATAATATATTAAATTTATGAAAATGGAAAAAATAAAAATATATTAAATTTGTGAGATTGCATCTAAAAACCAAGTTAAAAAATCAATGAAAACAAGGTTAAAAAGAAGTTTAAAATTAATATTAAATTTGTGGGATTACATCTAAATATATGATTTTGTTTATAAAAACAATAATGATTGAGTTATTATGAAGCAAATGTACAAAAGTTAGTCAAATAAATGATTATATGGTGTGTATTATCATATAGTTTTCTTCTTTTTGTAGGTTTATTATCTAAATTGGAAGACCGAATAGATTTCTTATTTTTATAGGTTTACCATCTAAATTACTAGGTTGAAACTTGGTAGAGGCTCAGATAATTCAACACAATGTTCCAAAAAAATATTTTTTTCTTTAACGTCCCACTATCGACAAAAAATTTGGATATTTCATTCGAATACATACACACATATACCCATGTACATATATTTTCTACCACAAGTTCACTTAAGTTTCGCAATTAGATATTTGTTTCTTTGATTTTTCTATCTTCTTATTGTTTTTATGAATTTTAGTTGTAGAATTTCTACTCATGAACGTGAGATTGTACGAATGTTGACTTTATGTTCATGGTGTTGGAGATTCTTTTTGAATGTACAACTAGTTGGAAATTCTATTTTGAATACGTAAAAAGTTTAACTTTATGTTTTTAATTTATGTTCGTGCTATCTCAAGTTTAATCGCGAGATGTTATAAATTCTGATTTGAATTTCCAAACTTCTTGTCATATTATTAATTTATTATACATTTTTACTTGTATAACTCTATCTACATAAAACATAAGGAGTATATGTTTATTCACTCACATATTTGTCCCGTAAAATTCAATCATGATGTTTTAACAAGAATATTGATACTCTAGCATGAAGAGCAAGATTACCTTGAAACAATACTTGCATGATACAGCATATAATAATTAAATAACTAATCATTAATGTACAAACGCACAATAGAAGATTGTAAAAAACATATATAACTAAAGAGTTGCTGAATCAAAAAAAATTCAAGCAAACCACCGAAAGGGATTTTAATTTTCCTTACACTCCAAATACATGCAAATCCATTAAATTCCAAAATCCATCACAAAGAAACTTAGGATGTTTTGTTAGCTATCAAACAATCTTTGGTCAAAGGAATTTATTGATAACCAACCTCTTCATCTCGTTCCACTTGATGACATGTATTTTATCGACTGTGTTGCTTAGCTCTTGGATACCTTGCCACCATTTAAAAGCCTCTCCATCGTGTGGCAATGTGCAGACTACATGTTTTACTTTTTCATACTCCGAGACACAACCAGACTCAAAATACAATTCTACATCCTTTACCCATTGGCAAAAGACAGCACAATCGAACTTCTCAGGGAAAGCTGGTATAAGTACCTTTGGATTGTTAGATGATGGCTTCTCCTCTGTAGGAATCTCAAACTTATAATCTTTATATTGTTGATATTTTTTTAACTTCTTCTCCATAAGTTGTACACGTTTGCTCAGATCTTCAAACTTGTTTACCATGGGCCCAATACACCTCACAATGTTATTTATATCCTTGACCAACGAATCCAAAGAAAAGCTATCTACACTGAAAAATATAATACTAACTTATAGGAGAATAAAAATATCAAGTTCAAAAAAGATAGTTGTTAAAACTAGGAAACCGATTAAATCCAAAATAATGGAAACTTTAGAGAATATACAAATCTGTGAAACTTCTTTTTCAATCTCTGATGTCCGTATTTTTAAAATATTATCATTCAAAAAAGAATTAAAATATCCAGTAAGTAACCTGGATTCACAGTGTCCTTGATCCATGTCTTGTGTCACCTTCCCTGCATCAAAGAATTTAAATTCAGCATAACAAACAATTCCCAGTAGATTGGTTATTTTTTCCAAACACAACTCTAAACTTGGAATAAAATATAAACTCATCCTAATAAAACCTTAAAGCTTTGAACAAAAGGATTTAAACCTTATTCTTTCAATACTGTTTCTCTTTTTGAAACATATATATATATATATATATATATATATAGAGAGAGAGAGAGAGAGAGTTCTATGTAACAACAACTTCAGAAGTATAAAGAAGAAGAAAAAGAGAAATTAGCCGGATGTGAAAACTCTACACCTAGTCAGATTAATGACAAATCTAGGGTTTTGGCTGTTCTGTTCTCCATAGAAGAAGACAACACCGGTGCACAAGGTATTACATAATTAACTAAGTGGTTAGCATCACCACATGGAGATTCTAAATAACTTAACTTGTTCTGTGTGTTTATTTTAAACTATTTGACTTTGCATTCTAAAGATTTTAAATACAAAGCATGATTTTTTTATATGAATCGTGTCTGTGTATCTAAAATTCTAATTGAACGTATTTACAGTAACTTCTTGCAAAAGAATACATCCAAACCTGAGTCATTCTTCATTTCCCCAACCATCTGCAGTTTGTTGACTTTTGAACCCTGCTGCACAGTAGAATTAGAAAGCTCATCTTAATTAAGAGAACAAAAACCAAAGCCATGCCTTGTGATATAAATATGCATAAATAATTCACCAACTCGCTATATTGATGCAGATTACATATGCTCATGGTATGAGTGTGCAGATGAGCATAAACTGACGTACTCATACTTAAGTTGCTGTGGATGCCATCAAATGTTAAAGGTTTATCATTGGTTATTCAGCTGCCTCTTCATGGTTGGAGATGTTTAAAAAAAACACCAAGACGATTTATTTATTTCTTATAACAAAACTGCAATAAAGTTTATGAACAAACAAAATCCATAATAGCAGCAAACAGAATAAAACCAATCAAGAAAGTTAACAAATACCAAAAGTATGTTACCAAGAGATTATTTATTTATGTATTCCATCCAATTACTCGGCATATCCATGAAAAAAGCATATAAAACCATTGTGAATTCAACACATACAGAAATTTTACATTATTATTCCACTTTTCTTGTCCGCCTTCAAACCAAACATAACCAAACTACGATGAAAATGAAAATGAAACAACTTTGTAAAGGCATAAAACTAATTTTTCGATCAATTTGAAACATCTTTATGCCTAAATTTGATGCAAAATAAATAGACTTAGTTTATTTAGAGTCGATGAATCATTGAAACTTATATCAGAAAGAAAAAGAAACACAGAAAACAAACCCTAGAAAATAACTAAACAAAACCATTGTCCTCGAATCAGGATCGGGATCCGTATCATAAATCACACAGTAATGAAATTAGTGGACTCGGAAGATTAGGTTTTCACGATAACCGTTATTCCGTGAAGCAATCGTCCCCTGATTTGCCGGCTTCTCCTCCGCCTCTACGCTGTACTGCAACCCTAAGATGGAGATGAATCAATTTTCATACGCGTAAGGCGTAACATCAAACCCTATCCACTGGGCCGAGGCCCATTGAACTGTGAAACAGATACCCAATCGACCAATCACATATATTCTTCGTCCCTTGTGAGTTTATATAAATCTTTCTTGATTCTAAATAAATTATTTGATAAAACAAAAAAAAAAAAAAAATAAGTAGATTAATAAGTTAAAAAAATAATATTGAAAATGAAACATACAAAGATAATTTGAAATTCTATCGGTAAGTTTATTATTTTTATCTAAACTTTAAATCATTCTTCAAATTTAACTTTGGATAATTTGAGCAAAAAATCATTATATTATCTGAATTGACCTTATGCCATAACGTTGAGGGCATGATGTATTTGAAAAATAACCTATATTTTAAGGCCATTATTCATGAAAAAAATTAGGCATTGGATCATGGGGCATGTGGCTAATATAAAATTTCCAAAAAAAAACTTATAACTTTAACATTAAGAAGTTGGATTTGTCGACTTTAAATCTAAAAATTATTCATGTTATACCACGGTCGGTCCGTTGATTTTAGGGGCCCGATGCGAACTAAAAAGGGGCCCCTAAATATATATATTTATTTTTTACTTATAGTAAAAATTCATTAATTATTCCATAACTATTATAATATGAAGCAAAACAAAAGAATGATCATACAATAGATAACCTTAGACAACTACATGAATAGCGAGACTCTCCTAGCATTCTTGGAAGCAAAATTGTTCACTAACTCTTCATAATCAATAGTCTCTAATATATCTTTCTCAATAGCTATTGCCATCAATCCATTAAGTCTTTCTTATGACATTGTGGACCGTAGGTAGGACTTTAACAACTTTAGCTTTGAAAAACTTATTTCTGCATACACGACCGTTACAGGAATAGTCAACAAGATTCTATAGGCAATAATTGCATTAGGAAAACAATCGACTTTTTTCATATACTTTAAAACATCAATAGGGCTCGTAATTTCACTCGGTAAAAACATATCAAGCAGCTTTAACTCCATATAAAGTTCATGAGAATCGATATCTGATTGTTCACCGGACTTAAGTGCGGCTTCAAGACGGCTACAACATGACTTGAGATCTTTGTCATCAAATTCCCTCAATTTTTTTGGAAACAAGAAACCAAAAATATTTTCATACTCTTTGTATTGTTGAAATCTTGTTTTAAGAGAAGCACTCGTTTGATCAACAATATATAAAAAGTAATTAACTTTAAAGTTCTCCTTTAAAAATAATTGCATTAGGAAAACAATCGACTTTTTTCATGTACTTTAAAACATCAATAGGGCTCATAATTTCACTCGGTAAAAACATATCAAGCAGCTTTAACTCCATATAAAGTTCATGAGAATCGATATCTGATTGTTCACCAGACTTAAGTGTGGGTTGTGCGGCTTTGAGACGGCTACAACATGACTTGAGATCTTTGTCATCAAATTCCTTCAATTTATTTGGAAACAAGAAACCAAAAATATTTTCATACTCTTTGTATTGTTGTAATGTTGTTTTAAGAGAAGCACTCGCTTGATCAATAATATATAAAAAGTAATTAACTTTAAAGTTCTCCTCGACTGAAAATACAACATCTTATCACTTGAATTCTCATTAAATTGTTTTTTTTTCTACTAACCGACCACTTTTGAGAGAATACCGGATCAATATTGTAACACCCCAAGATTCAGGTATATTTATTCCACCCTTATTCTTTGTCAATTTGTCATGATTGGCCCTTGAGTGGAAGAAGCCTTGCAAGTGAGTACGTTGGGCGTACCAAAGGGGTACGCTGCGCGTACTCATGCGCTTATTTTAGACGCGGAGTCGTTAAGGTACGCTGGGCGTACCCATAGTTACGTCGGGCGTACCCGGCCGAGATGCAAAACCCTAATTAGACTTGTGCTCTATTTAAAGGATGTTAAGGCTCATTTCTCAGCCTCCATATCAGTGAGTAAAACCCTAAGTGAGAGCCTTCCATCGTCCTTAGTGAGTGTGTGTGTTCTAGGATCTAATAGTGCCTTGGTGTGTTAGTGAAGAAGAAGGAAAGGAGCTTGTGGAGTCTAAAGCTTGAAGTGCAAGTTTGGATCTGAGATCTATAGAGAAAGGAGGTGCATTTAGAGGTATAAAGCTCAAAACTTTCCTCTTCTTTTGGTTTGTTGTTGCATGTGCCATTTCTAGGGTTAAAACCCCAAAGGTGGAGACTTTATGAGTGTAAAGTGCTCCATGGTCCGAGATCTGTCCCTTTTCAGTAGTATTTGTGGTCTAGATCCATAAAGTTCCCATCTTGGTCGTTGATATGAGGTCATGCTTGAGTATTATGCTTCTAGGGTTAGAGAATGGAATGTTTTGGGTGCTAGTGACTTTTCCAGCCATGCAAAGGCTTAAAGTCATCGACTTTATGGTTTAAGAGGCTTAGTAATGGTCAAATCTAAAAGTTGGACGTGAGTCTTAACTGTTTAAGACCTCAAGAGCTGAAAGACTGAAACTGGGCATTACGTCGGACGTTATTCCAAAACGCGCAGTGTAGGGGGTGGCGCACCCCGATTCTATGAAGGCACCGGGTACGCTTAGCGTACATGTTTGGTACGCGCATCGTAACCTGAAGGGTTGACTTTTGTTGACTTTTAGGGTTTGGTCAACTTTAGGGTATTTGAGCCATGTGAGGGGTAAAATGGTCTTTTACCCTCATGAGAGTGTTAAGAGAAGGGATGGTCTAGCCTTGGGAAATGTGTTGATGCAAAGTGTTTATTTCATATGATTAGGCGGAGGCTAGGTCTTATCCCACGGAGTCCGAGGTTTCCGAGATTTACGAGTTACCGAGCTACACGAGGTGAGTCTTCTCACTATACGTTACCTAGAGTGGTATTTATGTGGACCGGAGGGTCTTATGTGCTATGTATGAGATTATGTGCTATGAATGAATTTACGTGCTATGTGATATATGCATGTTATATGATTGTATAGACCGGACCGGAGGGTCCAACGATTCAGACCGGGCCAGAGGGCCCAACGAGCTATGACCGGACCTGAGGGCCCAACGAGCTACGGGACTGGAGGGTCCCGCTGAGACACCTCGACCGGAAGGTCGAGTTGTAGCCTCGAGTGGCGTATTTTTTGTATGCGGTATTTTGGGAACTCACTAAGCATTTATGCTTACAGTTGTTGTGTTGTATGTCTCATGTACTAGCGAGGACCGTGGAAAGGCACCGACGTGATCCGTACACACACCAATGGAGTTTTATTTTACTTAGAGATCTGGGGATTGTTTTCGAAATACTATTATCATGTGGATTTGAAATTGTGATATGACTCTTATGTTGTTTTTGAAATGAAAAATTATTTTGAAAAAATTACGTTGTTACAAATTGGTATCAGAGCCTTGGTTTGAGGGATTCGGATGCACCTTCGGACGTATTTGAACTCAAACCGAGGATTTGAGAAATTTTCAACAATAAAACTAATTTTTTTCAATAAAGAAAAAGAGGTTTAGAAACATCCAGAGTGGAACGGTGTGTACGGTCAGCCAGAGCCCGAACGGTGAATCCCCAAAATTGTAACGACCCAAAATTCACGTCCAAAAATTTCTTTTTAAAAACATTACTTTAGAAAAACATTAATTAATTAAAACATTGTTAGATCAACCACATCATATCGTGAACCATGTCTAGGAACCAAAACATACAAATAATCGAAATGTCAGAGTACAAATCCCCAGGAAAATCTCATAGTGCGGAATACAAGGCATGTGTGTGATGTGCCGCTACCGCGCCAGCTCCTTCCCCTTCGAAGAAGAGGTACCTGAAACAAAACTGAAAACTGTAAGCACGAAGCTTAGTGAGTTCCCCCATCGTACCACATACCATACAATCACATAACATAAATACTGCCAGACTATTCTTGGGTGCCTGACTACCCGGTACAGCTATTCTGGGGTGCCGACCTACCCATGCGGCCATTCTGGGGTGCCGTCCTACCCATGTCAAGCCATTCTGGGGTGCTGACTACCCATGTTCAGCCGTTCTGGGGTGCTGACTACCCATCGGTCCTAACAACCGATCCTCGGGGACTATTTCACCCCTACTGCTACTATCACATATATCATAACATAACATATTATCAAACATATCTGGGGTGTCCGATCTACCCTTCGGTCCTAACAACCGAACTTGGGGACCATTCCCCCTCCTACTACCACTATCTCATAT